AGCGGGTACAAGATGCGTCTGGCCACGGACAACACAATTTTAAAGCGAATGTGTAGTCAGCCCTCGCTATTCAGTACCGTGCTCTGTCACCGGTTTCCATATCGCCATCAGCCATCTACATTTTGTCACATGAACAGACATACTGGAATGTATTTAAATTAGCTCCTACCTACTTATACACTACGTTGTTGCACGTACATAGGTAGAGGCGAGTGAGCAATCCGTCGGTTCTTTCTATGGGACGCTTGGCAAAATAAATTGTTTTGCATGTTCCTATAATAATCCGCTTCGGATATGTCACCATACTGCTGGTTCGGCTTTTCATACCTACAGTCGTCGCTTTCGTGACTGTCGTCGCCTCTTTACATAAGTTTCTTCAGTTCGGATAGGGCGAAATGAAGCCGACCACTTTTCCTAAATGCGGTTGCGTCAAGAAGCTACAGCGTGCGATCTTCTCGCTAGAACAGAGATGTGGATGTGAACTAACACAAGTGACATGTAGATCGCGCTGCCAGGCATGTCCATTGTTCTGTGCGACCGACCCAGCAAAGGTGATGGGTGGCTCTATACTTCTGGAAAGACCTCCAAGATGAGCTCATAGAGGATCCGGTCAGCAAGATACAAGATCGGCTTTGGCGCTGTCTATGTTTAAAAGACGACGACACCTGCTTGGTGACGTCCATTTAACGCCCTCCCTCCTCCACGACCGAGATGGACTTCTAATTGGCATCTGCAATAAGGAGGGTGATAAACACAACTTACAGTCACATTCTCATTACTGGCGATTTCAACATCCACGCCTTGGAATCCCAAGCAACTCACGGAGAACAGTTTAAGGATGGTCTACAAAAGTTTGTTCCGGATTACTCGCTGTATGACCACATCAACACTCCCACCCAAATCCGATAAAATAATAAACAGTCAATACTGGATCGGATATTCACCAACAAAGAATTAATGGTCAAGAGGGTGATTGCTTATGTCTCATTGAGTCGCAGCCATCATGTAACACTCCTCTTCGAGGAAATTTGCTAAGTAAAATATCCCTTGGAAACGGCGGACGCGAGAACAAGCAATACAAACTACGACGTATTAGCTCGACTAGGTAAGACAGCCAAATGGCCCCTTCCGGCAGATGAGGCACCAGCTAGTGTATGGGAACATTTTTTCAACCAGTTTAACTCTTTGACGGCTAAAGCGTCAGCGACTGAGACCTTCCGCCCGGAAAAAATGGTCTTGTTTCTGCGAACCAACACAGTCTACCCAAACATCGAGAACTGGATGGCCTATACCACGCAACGCAACCACTGTGCTCAAATTGTTTGCGAGGATAGAATGGCGTACCAGCAAAGTTGGCATTTCGTGTGGCGTCAAATCACAAGTTTCGGTATAAACACGTCAACAGCATACTTAAGGTAAAACAGGAATTTCCCCCTCTACAAACAGCGGGCGGACCCACAGGGACACAGAAGGGGCGGCGAATACCCTGCGCCTACAATACGCTGAAATATTTTAGTGCGACCAATGGGCAGATAACCCTATGGCATTTGGTTTCTTCACCACCGAAACTCACATATCCTTCACATCAGAAGCAGTACTACAATAGATGGCTAGCACAGCTCGCCTGGAGTTGATTATTTACACACGGAATCGATAGCGGCGGTGGAAGAGGGTTTAGCTGAGAATTTGGATCCATTCTTCCAACACTATTTCGACGAAATACACGTACCCGACATTTGGAAACATGGGATGATAACTTCTATTCACAAGTGAGGTAGTCGTTCCAGTGCAGCCAACTACCGTCCCATAAGCTTACTACCTTTTATTTCAAAGGTCACGGAAGCTAATCTATCGAAGCGCTAACCGCATACTTGAAAAGCTTTAACTACGTCGCACCGGACCAGCATGGCTTCTGACGAAATCGATCGAGCAATACAAATCTACTACTAGCAATATCCAGCTGGACTGAATCAGTAGAGTCTAGCACAGAAGTTGATGCAGTATTTCCCGACTTCTCAAAGCGTTCGACCGGTTAGACCATGACGTATGGCTCTTCAAACTCAAGACATTTGGTATTGGTTATCCTCTGCTTTGATGCATATAAAACTTCCTTCTACTCTGGCGCTTTGAAGTACGACTGCATAAATCCATGTTAGATCCAATCCGAGTTGAATTCGGAGAACCACAAGGATCGGTACTAGGACAGCGATCATTTTGACATAAATTAACGATATCACACGTCTCAAAACATCGAACTACCTAATTTCTGCTGATGAAAACAAGGTATGGTGGGCGACCAGTACACCAGATGATATCACGCTACCTAAAGTTACTCTGGATAGGGTATACGCGTGGTCAATCCAGAATCTACTTCGATTCACTGTGCACAAGTATAGATTGCTGCACCTACGGCACAAGTTGGTGCAATCCTTCAAGCTGTAACCAGGAGCTGCAAACCTCTTCTGGCGAGAGGGATCTGGGATCTTTTGTCCAGCTCGACATTGGATGTTCGGAACAGGCTGAAACGGCTTCAATAAGGGATATCCAAAATGTGAGCATTCGGACGATTTGACTTTTCCATTTTTTCCACAAGTTCTCGGCTCATACATACGGCCACATATGGAATACGTACTACTGGTCTGGCAGCCATGGCTGAGGAGAGATTTCACAGTCTTGGAGATGCTCCAACACAGAGCAAGCAAAACTCCAGGGGTCTGTATAATTTGCTGTATAAACGAAGGCTTCAAGTGCTCGAGGTCTTCAGCGGACAGTATCGCGATTGCGCAGGGACCACATTTTGACTTCTTAGCTTTTGAGTGATCCCAATCACATGTGCCGCTACTCGCTAGATCCCAGTCACAACAGCAAATTGAGAGGCCACTATCTCATGCTGGCAGAGCGGTACAGTTGTTTGGAATGCCATCGGAATTTCTTTTCCGTATGCGGTGGCTGTACGTAGAAAGCCCTACCGGAATCTGTCTTATGTGTTCCCACACTGGCAGAGTTTAAAGCCCGAAGTGATTGTGCATTCATTTTGTCGCATCATCTAGCAGGACTTATTAATCATGGATAAGCACAAACGTCTATTAGAGAATTTACTGGCGGTCCCAGATTTCGTTCCATCTTTTTCTCCCCTTGTATGTGTAAAGCACGAGAGACGATTTTTGGAAACATCCCATTTGCTGTCATTCCTTAAGAATTTACCTTGGATTTACAGCTTCTGCTACATATTCCTCAGTGACTACAACCGCGTAAACCCGATTTTGGAACAAAATTATATTTTGTAGTTACACCCTAACCATCCTATGGGACCTGTACAGCAGTAACATTTATACCCGAACACAATCATTGTTTCGTTGGGATCCGAAGATAGCATATATTAAACACAACTGCCAAATAACAGAACTTAGTGCAAAACGATTGTGGTACTCCAGACTCCGAGTATCGAGGCAAGCACCCAGTTAACCCGCCAAGATTCAAACAAGGAATAAGCATCTGCCATAACGCTAAATATGTCGGAAGACGTATATTCCTTCGCATCCGTAGTTTGACAGTCTAACAAACTTTCATGAGTTTGCCTATGTGAACAAATATCCAGCTTTTTTGACTGCTGGATATGGGACAATTTCTATTTGGACTAGTCAGCAACATCGACTAAAGCTCAAATCCTGCATTCAACTCCAAAGCATTCAGCCTCTACCATTTCGATTAAAAATTGACATCAAATATGGTAGACGCAAACAAAACTTCTTGTCAAAATTGACCTAGAACTGTGCATTAAAAAGTTAGCCACAATGACTCATTGAAAGCGGGATGCGCTACACCGACCATGCATTACCGTGCAGCATTTACGTGGGAATGAAGATTGGTGATAGAAGAATGTGCTGGTGCAAAAGACAGCGTGCCAAAGCGGCTTGCAACAGCGAAGCATGCATGAACATGTGCTAGCTAGAGAGTACAAAGTCACCGTCATCAAGATGGTGTTAGATAATTTAACTGACTTCATGTGAGCAGAATAGGAAAATGGTCAGCGCTAACGGCCGAAATAAATCGTTCACGGAATGTTTCAATTATCGATTTTTGAGCATTTCCCACAGTTGGGGTTCAGTTCGCTGTTGAGTCCATGCTCAAACAGGTGACCTTAATACTTGTTAATTCATGGGTAACCATTGGAGATGATTATTTGGCGCCATATTTGCGAGACATTAATGAAATAGGCATAACTGAACCAGCCTGTTGATGAGTGTATAGGCAGCAACGCCTTTGCTGACCAAGTCCTAGAGGCTAAAAGCGCTACAATACTCGATACGGGTGATACTACTACGCCATCGACGATGACCCAAATAATGGCAGACGATGTCTAGATTTTCAAAATCCACTGAAGATCCTTATCCATCCACCGCCTCCTCCTTCTCCTCCTCTGACGATGACGACGACGGCGGTAGGAAGCAACTTGTTATCTTCCATTGACTGTATGACACAGAATCTGCACGTACGTGTAAACGAAGTACTGTTATTCTTCGTCTCAAAGATTTTTCACTGCTAGACTTTTCATGGCGGTAAACGCTATTACAGCGGTCCGAAAACCTTCTTCAAATATGGTGCCTTATACGGTTTTGTTTCCTTTTCAATCTTCGGCTTATAGCCGCTCTAGCTGGGATCGGTTGATAAGTCCAAAAATTAATGTTATTGATGGTTGCTTATGGTGCCGGTACCAGCGTCGTTACGGGACAATCCATAAAGCTGCGGCATCATATTGTGTGTAATAGTCATTGCTTAATATATCACACCACTTTATATTCTCGCGGTGTGGACTAGCTGTCAAGTACCGCAATCTACTTCAGACGCTTCAAATTGGTGGGATTACTTCTAACTTCAAAGTGGCTGATGGCGTCGAAACCATACAGTTGAAACGAACAGCTCAACAGCGTTGATGACTGCTTTTTTGCCCATACCCAGTCACATTGTAAACGCAACCGTCTTCTATCACAATCACACACCCTAAGCGAGTTCGCTTCCTCTGCAGATTTTTCTTGTCTATCCAATAGCCATTTGGATCGCTCTTTCTCTGCGGATAACTCCTGTTCCATGTGAGACAATGTGTCTTGTGATGCGCGGAATTGCCCCTCATACCAATTCCCTCGGCGCTCGGCCGACTCTTTGTCTCTGGTCACCGCGTCCAATCGTTCTTGTAATTTGTCGTTGGCTGACTTCTCTAGCTAAAAGGATTAGGGAAAAACAAAGACAAATAGAAAGTTGATCACACGAAATTGTGAGTTCATAAATGCAAATCATTAACCTAAAAAGTATGCATTACCTGAAAGCAGCGATTCTAAAGGTTTCAGAGAAACGCAAATGAATCACAGATGTGGGGAAAGTATAAGCACACATTACATGTGAGAGCGCTCTGCTACTGGATTCTTTTCTAAATTTGACTATACAAATAACACCCGCTTCCGCTTTGACATGTGTTTGCTATGAACACTGGTTGACAACATACATTTTGTGAGGACGGGAATAATTAATATACAAGGGTGTCGCAAGCGAAATCGGTGTCCACGTTGGGACACAGGCAGCAGCACTGCAGAAAGTTTCGTTAATCGTATCAGACCAACAGCCAGATGGTCAGTTAAGTCGTCGGCTTAGTGAGCCAACAATAGAATACGGTGCTTTGCTGAAGTCTGAATTGTCTATGTCCTACATTCTGCCAAGTTTATGCCACTCGCTCTCTGTAGTTATTCTATATATGTGAATGAACCGCAATTCGTGAAATTTTTCAGAGCATATGTACAAATGTGGGACAATGGTAATAGAAGAGACATTCCATTTTCCCTATTCCCTGTATTTTCTTTTTCTTTTTCCAGTTGCATATGATCCGACCATATAACCAAGTTTAAGTTCCATTTTTATTCAATACATTTCGACAAGGCGAATAGAGAGACAAGCAGTAAACAATCAATACTTGTTAGCAGGTCAGGACAAACGGGTGCCCTGCATTGTAGATCAACGAAGAAAGTGCTCCATCAATAGCACCAGGATTGCTGTGCGATCAAATGTTCATGAATATACCGCCATCACATCGGAAGACTAAGAGCAATGGAACTCATTGTGTGTGCTGATGAGTGTCAAAACCAAGCCCATAGACCTATTACGAATTACTCGTCATCGGAACTCGCCACACTATGGAGAACCCAGACTTATTCGAGTAACACCTGAACCCTCCACCGATGTAGAGACCGTTTTATTCTCCGGAAGCGCGTTAAGACACATGTAGGCTGTGCGATACGCATCTATCCTCTTGTCCCTTGGAGCGCGCAAAACAAAAAGAAACACCGAAGAGGGACACAGCAGGCAACACAGCCTAAACACAATCTTCGTACATGGCGTGCCAGAGCATCCTTCTAATGGTGTTAAGCAGGCCGGAAAGCACGATCTAGAACAGTGGCGGTTCATTCGTGGAACATTTTCTTTAGATAGTATTGTGGCGCTAGCGCTCAAAAGCCTACCCCACTCCCCAAATTATAGAGCATGGGGTCCTAGAATCTTAAAACATGTAGTTCAGTCGGAGCAAACAACAACGGATACCTTTGGATCGTTGGCGGAGCAACAGGTAAAGCCCTGGTTCTGACTACAGGAAACTAAAGTGTCGCAGCACGGATGGTACCCATCAGTGCCGTTCACAAATTCACAAAAAAACCCCGGATCCTAAGGGTTCAAATGCAAAACCAGTAGCCACCAGGCGCAACCATGGTGCCCTAAACCTTGTATGCACAAATGTCCCCGAATCCAAATCCAATAACATTAAGCGTAAATTGACGGACGATGGAAGTCATTGGGGTTCAATCTGTACGTCGATCGGTGTCCACGCTAATCCCACGTCATTAAAAAGAAGCTCGCGTCACCCAAACGCGTTGCACTACGGCGAACCCCGGTTACTTCGGGTAAAACTAAACTCGGCGGACGAGACTGAGGCTGTTCTGCTGTCTGCGAATCGTCTCCGCAACGACTCAAGTGGAGTGCGCATACTACCCGAAATCCCGTGGAAAGAACGTTCAGCGGATCCCGCTAACAAAGATAGGTACAGAATAAGTCAAGATGAGAAAACAGTGATTGCTCAAGGTGTTCCTGATCTTACTGGTTCCTCTTCCGACGATGCTCAGATGCACGACCGCGAGCAATGGCGCTACATCCGGGTGGCACATTCTCACGAAAATGTCGTGGTCACCTCGTTGACAAGGTTCCACATACCACCGAACTGTAAGGGGTGCAGTCCCAGGCTGTTAAACTTGTGTTACAGTCAGAGATAACGTCACAAACTCTACTTTGGAACTGGACTAAATTCCGTTGCAGATTGCCAACAGAAATTCTTCTGAAAGCAGCGGGAACACCAACACCTTCGAATGACAATTCAGTAGAGGCACAACTCTTAATGAAACCGCTAACTGCAGGACCCGACTCGGGGACGGTTTCAAGAATAGTCATACTATGCGGAGGGACACAGCAGAAAACAAGCAAACAACGGGATCCGGGGCATCAGATACTTGACTATAGACCAACTTCGTCTCCAGAGTCTGCAACCCATGCAAAAAACGATTAGTCGCCGACCCTTTAATGGTCGGCGTAAACTCACTTGCTTCACCCTTCCAATCGAACACACTATTGGTCTCCAAGACTCTCTCATGCATGTACACAAACGCCCAAGGTCTACTCAGCAAGTTAGCTGAATTAAGACATCGACACGAGTTAGCAGCTTGGGACCTCATCGCTGTCACTGAAACGTGGTTGTGCTGCGAGATAACAGATGCTGAAATCGCGCTAACAGGCATGTTCGTTGTCCGGAAGGATCGAGCCAGCAAAGGTTGTGGGATAGCCCTTTACTTTCGTAACTACATGCAATGCAAACCCATAAATGAATCGGAAACCGACGTACCTGACGCCATTTGGTTTAATTTCCGGCTGAGAGGGAACGATCTTGGTCTATAGGTTGTAGTTCACCGCCCACCATCGTCTACTCCTGAGATGGACTGCAATTTGATGGCTGCGTTGAGGCAAGTGATAAACAGGAAGTACAGTCACATTCTGGTCACCGTCGACTACAACTTACATGCTCTGGTATCCCAGGCCACACCAGGTGAGCAATTCAAAGCAGATTTGCAAGATCTGGTTTCAGACGTCCCGCTTTATGGCCACGTCACTACGCCCACCAGGTTCAGGGGAACTGACAGGCCATCCATATTGGACCGAATATTCACCAATGAGGAACTGAGGGTCGAGAGAGTGATAAAAGCTACTTCTGTGGGCCGCAGTGATCATGCGACGCTAGTGTTCCATTACATGTGCTACGCGGATTATCCTAAAAAGCATGCCGAGGAATATCATGTCGTAACCAACTATGACGACCTGTCCGACCTCATTGATGCAACCAGCTGGTAGTTCTTAGCCGCATTGACCCTGAAGTGGCCTGCGGAGAATTCGTCAACATATTTGCCAGGCTCGTGGCAAGGACATCTGAAACCAAACTCTGCCGGCCTAAAACGATGGAGTATTTCGTAAGGAGCAGGACACGCAAATGCATGGCATTAAGGGATTTGGCATGGCACACCTACATTGCCTCCCCGAAAGACCATACCTGGGATGTCTACACAATACAAAGAAACCACTGTGTCCAACTCGTCCGGGAGAATAAAATTAAGAACCAACAAAGTTTAGTGGATAAGTTTTGCTCCAATCCTAAACTGCTACACAGACACGTAAACAATTTGCGCCGTGTTAAGCACGGTATTCCTGTTCTGCACACAGTATGCGGGTTAGCCCAAACTGCACAAGTGGCGGCCAACGTTCTTGGACAAGAATTTGACCGTACATTCCAAAGCGTGCAACTGTCATACATCTTGCTTAAGTGGATAATGCCGCCATCAGGGCTTAATCACAAATTGTTACCTCCGCAGCTGTACTGAAGAGGCTGATGTCACTGTGTGAGTTCAGCTCCCGGGTGCGAACTGCATTCGCCCGAAGGCGTTGAAAGTTGCTGCCATGAGTTTGGCAGGACCACTAGAAATTTTCTTTCAGCGATGTCTGAACGAGGTGCACATCAACACGATGTGGAAGCACGGATTCATCACGCCAGTCTACAAATTGGCAACCGTGCTGAACCAGCAAATTATCGCCCGATAACACTACTTCCTGTGATCTCCAAAGTTATGGAGTCCATTGTAGCTGAGGCTTTGATGGGTACCTGGGGAACAAAAATATTCTCATTCCGGAGCAGCACGGATTTCGCCAAAATCGCTCCTGTACCCCTATTCTCTTGATTGCTCGTGCAAGCTGGAAGGAATCTGTGGACGCTGGTGTAGGAGTCGACGCGGCCCACTTGGCTTTCTCAAAGGCATTCGACCGTCTAGACCATCGCATTCTCCTCCACAAACTCCAGAACTATGGAATCGGCGATCCTGTTCTGGGATGGATAGTAGACTTTCTCGTGCAACGTCACCCGAATGTGAGGGTTAGAAGCGACCTGTCGGAATCCATGGAAGTTCAGTGCGGCGTACCTCAGAGCTCGGTACTTGGAATCCGGCTGTTGCTGGTTTTCAGAAATGATCTCACGAGCGTGCTATCTTCTAACTGTTTGCTAGTTGCCGATGATCTAAATGTATGGCGTACTATAGCTGCAGTGGAGGATCACACAGTGTTACAGGAGGACTTGGACAATGCGTACACATGGTCCATCGAGAACATGCTGCACTTCAACGTCACTAAGTTCAGAGTTCTCATCATACTGCACAACAGTATGTACAAGTACCGCCTAGGACCACAAATTCTACAGCGCGCTTCTCATGAGTGCGATCACCGGCGTGATAGTTCAAGATGACCTCGGTTGTTTGAGGCAGACTGAAAAGGCAGCTGAGAAAGCAAATCAGTACCTCGGCTTTCTTCGCAGAGCTTTGGGAAATTTGACCCTTCAGTCTCTCCAAAAATGTTTAGTGCGTACGTGAGGCCGCACGCGGAATACGCTATCCAAGCGTGGCAGCCCTGGCTCAAGCACCATCTCACCGCGCTTGTAACTGCACAACGTAGGGCAACGAAGAGCGTCAGAGGTTTGACCGGACTTCCTTGCCCACTCAGGCTGAAGACCCTCAAAATATACAGTGGACGTTATCGGCGTCTAAGGGGCGATCTCATAATGGTGTACCTAATCCTGAGAGACCTCAACCACCCATGC